GAAGGATCGCTGTCGTGTGCCTAGCCCCAGACTGTCTCTCTACCACCCACTCATCCATCATCATTCTACCCAGCCATCTTTTTTTTTATTTTCCAGGGCCCCTTTGCACCACCCGAGTGACTGAAAGCACCCTCGCTGCAAATGAGCAGCAGGGCCATAGAAATGGTATTTATGAATCCCAAGCCGGGCAAGGAATCCACGGAGAGGAGGAGCCCGTGGGTGGTGGAAAGAGGAGCTGAAATGAAGCTGTTGCCAACTCACAAGCTTCACAAGACAAACCTGCAACACGCAGGCTAATTCTGGGACAATCCCAGATTCCACAGGGGTCCTTCCCCACTGGGATCTGGGGGGCAGGGAGAGTCCCCAGGCAAACAGACAATCAAACCAAAGGTACATCGGCATCTGTAGCCTGAAACCCCCACCGGAAAGGGGATGAAAGGGCAACTGTCCGTGGTTTATTAGTACTGCACCACGCTCCAGCTGCTGCCTGTGCTGAGCCCCAGACGAATTCATCGCCTGCTCGGAAAGACGCCCTTGCAAACCCGAGGAGCGTCTGAGGTCGTGCTCTGGGGAAGCGTGTCTCTAACTCCTCCAAATCAGGGTGAGGAAACAGTGACATGGCACTGTGGCTGCTGCCTCTCTGATGTTTTCATTAAAGTCTCTGAGCACGGCTAATCCAGGCAGCATTGCTAGGTCACTTTAAACCCCCGCCCCTTGCCAGGGCTGCCGCCTCCACTTGCCCTGCCCGAGCAATTCACTTTAAACTCCTGCTCATGCTGCCGACCTGAAAACATCTGGTCAGCGTGCAGCCGCAGTGCCAGCTCACTGCTAACGGACTGTTAGGCACCATGAGGGCAGGGGTAGATAAGACAGAAATTACCATAATGCCACTATACAAATCCACGGTGCACCCACACCTTGAATACTGCAGGCAGATCTGCTTGACCCATTTAAAAAAAAAGATATATTAGAATGGAAAAAGTACAGAAAAGGGCCAAAAACAGCCCCAAAACAACCAATCAGGGGTACGGAAGGGCTTCCATAGGAGGAGAGATTAAAAGACTGGGACTGTTCAGCTTGGAAAAGAGACGACTAAGGGGGGGATAGGCTAGAGGGCTATAAAAAATATGACTGGTGCGGAGAAAGTGATTAGGGAAATACAAATACAAGAACCAGGGGTCCCCCAATGAAATGAATAATCAATAGATTTAAAACAAACATAAGCAAGTACTTCCTCACCCAACACACAGTCTACTTATGGGACTAAAGTAAGTCAGATTTGGCCTTCCTACATACAGCCCTAGCTAAGGTCCGCAGTACAGAATCTCACCCATAGAACCTAATAGAGAAGAGAGATCTTTTCTATATGTTTTGTGCCAGGGGACGCTGTGAAGGCCAGAAGTATAACTCGGTTCAAAAAAGAATGAGATAAGTTCATGGAGGACAGGTCCATCGATGGATGTCAGCCAAGAGGGTCAGGGACGCAACCTCATGCTCGGGTGTCCCTAAATTCCAACTCCCAGAAGCTGGGAATGGGCAACAAGTCATGGATCACTCAATCATGGCCCTGTTCTGTTCATTCCCTCTGAAGCGCCTGGCATTGGCCACTGTCGGAAGACAGGATGGTGGGCTAGATGGAGGACTGCTCTGACCCAGTGTGGCTGTTCTTGTGTTCACCTGCCATGTGTCCTGGTATTCCTGCAGAGGTCTCTCCCACCTAAGCCAGGCTGTAAAACCAGTGCTCCAGGCATGACAGACACCTTAGCCTCATGCCCATCGGGCGGCAGCAGCAAACACGGCTCTCTGCATAGAGTAGATTCGAGAGAGAGCGAGAAATCAAACCTGAAGGTGCCGTCAATGGGGCATGTAGCATGTGGGGCTGCTGACAGAGCCGAGTAATTTTCACTTTCAGCAGCTCTGACATCTGCCGGGAATAAGGAGGCTGGAGGCTTTCGTGCGATGTTTTGCTTTGTTCTAATGCACGCCCATGCATTTGTGATTAACGGACAGCACGATTTCACGTGTCGCAGCCGCGTGGCCGGATTGCAGAGCCACAGAGCTGGGGTTTGTTAATTGCATGGCTTCTATCCACAGGTAACCGGAATTAATTCTCCAGATGGGAGCAGTGAACTAACTGCTCACTGATTGCTCTGTCTGCGGACGCCAGGACAAGCCTGAAATACGGGGCGATAAAAAGAAGGGGATTGTTATGCATCCAAAGAGAGATGCAGTAGCTAGGAGCTACTGGAAGGGCAGCTGCACTACATGTGCAGTGACATATTTATCAGGGTCTCCAGTGTGTTTCTGCATCTTCTTCCAAAGTCAAATGAGCTTTCCTATAATTTTCTAAACAGCTACAGAAACATGTACGCATGTCTACACACGCATGTACACACATGCAAATGCTCACACACCCACACCCATATGAACACCTGCCACGTACACACAGGCTGATCTGTTAGCGTCTTTGCCCTGGTGTCAATCACTGCACAGGGTGCTTGGCAGTGGAGAACTGGTGCCTGGGGCATCAAACTGTCACTAGCTTTTCAGACTCTCCTCTTCGCAGTTCCCCAAACAGCTGGGGACAGGAGAGATCCTGCTCTCCTTTCCCTGTGTGTGGGGGATCCCAGTGTGAGCTGTGGGATCCAGGGTAGGTAGCCAGCTCTATCCAAGATAGACTGTGATTGGCTGGAGTATTGTGTCCAGTTTTGGGCATCACACTTTAAGAAAGATGTGGACAAATTGGAGAGAGTCCAGAAGAGAGCATCAAAAATTGATAAAACTGACCTATGAGGCAGGATAAAAAAAAAAAATAACAGGCTATGTTTAATCTTGAGAAGACCGAGGGGGGACCTGACATCTGTCTTCAACTATATTAAGGGCTGCTATAGAGAAGTCTGTGATCAATTGTCCTCCATGTCCATTGAAGGTAGGACAAGAAGCCATGGCTTAATCTGCAGCTTGGGACGGTTAGGTTAGATATTAGGAAAAACTTTCTAACTCTCAGGGTAGTGAGACAAGAGGGTCACTATAGTATGGTGGATCCTGCGCTTTTCTTGGTGGGGGGGGCTAAAATACCACCCCTTACTCCTGCTCTTGGGCACCAAGGGCCCCACTAGTGGCCCAGGAAGGTGGTAAAGGAGGGAAGCGGGGGAGGCATCTGGGTTTGCTCCTCACTCTGAGTCCCAGCCCCTCTCAACCCCTGCAGGCTCTTACCCTCTTCCCCCTGGGGTGGGGTACCTTCAGTCCTTAAACGCTGGGGGAGGGAATGTCCCTCCCCTGCTGGGGCAGGGTCTCCCTTACTCTGGTTTGCTGTTCCTCCAAGTCTCACAGCACACCTCCAAGCTCCAGTCCTCTCTCCTTCCCCCTGACTGCCTGAAGCAGGGGGTTTTATTAGGTTTCTAACAGGGTCTTAACTGATTACAGGTGCTCCAATTAACCTGTAGCAACCCTCCCTAGTCTACAGGGAACCACGCCTTAATTAACCTAGGGTTTATATACTTCCCTTCTACCACTTCCCACTGTTCCCTGGCCCTCCTGTATCACAGTCGTTAAGCTCTGTACCAGGCTTCCAAGGGAGGTTGTGGGATCCCCGTCACTGGAGGGGTTGAAGAATGGACTGGAGAAACACCTGTCAGGGAAAGTCTAGGTTTCCTTGGTCCTGGCTCAGCGCAGGGCGCTGGAATTGATCACCTCCCGCGGTCCTCTCCTGCCCTAAATGTCTGATTCTTTGATCTGCTCCCCTCTCTTTGGTGTATAAACAGTCTCATAAATGCAGCCTTAAAAACAGGGCTGATTGTTCTGCCTCGTTTAGCCTTTGAGTTGCCTGCTATTACAGCTGCTGAACCGCGGCCAAGAGTCAGTTTGTAAGTGGAGGGCCATCGTACGGCTTCCCTTGCAAAGGAGAATGAGTGGGCATTGCTTTGTATCGGCACTCCTTACCATCTGCTTTGCCCTGGTTCTCAAGGTAATCTCCCTGCAGCCAGACACCTGGACGGACAAATTTCTGGCTTGTGGGGGGTCCAGGTGCCACAGTCACACATATAATTAATTACAGTTCTCTCCCTCCCTCTGCATGGACCCATATCCTGAGCATTTCACAGGCAGATTCTTTATTCCAGGAATTTCTTTTGCTTTCCTGCTTGTTTCTACACGGCTGAAAACACCAAACATTTCCCCCGAAACTTTAGTATTAGTAGCACCTAGACTCTCCAACTGGGCTTTAGAGTCCGGTGCTGCACATACATACAGGGTATTGTCTACACAGCAGAAGATGTGCACCATCTAGGCTATCTGAGCTAGCTTGAACGCATCTAGTGTGGGTAACAAGAGCAGTTGAAGACCGCACCGTGTGGGCTTCAAACAGGCTGGCAAGCGGAGTCTGTACCCAAGGTCCATGCTGAGGTTGTGTTATCCGCACTGCAGCCCTTGTTACCCAGGCTACCTCAGGTAGGCTAGACTGGATGCAGCTTTTGCTGTGTAGACATGCCCAGCGTGACACTCCCTGCCTTGGAGTGCTCACAGTCTAAATCAGTAGTTCTCAAACTTTTGTACCGGTGATCCCTTTCACATAGCAAGCCTCTGAGTGCGACCCCACCTTATAATTAAAAACACTTTTTTATATATTTAACACCATTATAAATGCTGGAGGCAAAGCATGGCTTGGGGGTGGAGGCTGACAGCTTGCTACCCCCCATCTAATAACCTCGTGACCCCCTGAGAGGTCCCACCCCCCAGTTTGAGAACCCTTGGTCTAAATAGACCAAGGAAGGATCCTTATTCCCATTTTACTGTTGGGAAACTGAGGCCCTTAGAGATGTAGTGAATTTCTCAAGGTCACTCAAAGTCTGTGGCAGAGGCAGGAATTGAACCTCGATCTCCTGAGTCCCAGCCCAGTGCCCTCACCTGTTAAACCTGGTTGACAACGCTGAGTAACACATTCTTGAAATACAGTGTGATTCGTAACATGCTGGTGGCTGTTCTGTTGCTGCGAGGCATTATTAGCATAATCGTCACTTTAATTATGGATCAATTATTTATAAAACTTCGTATTTGTTCCCTTGTGAGATCTCGGCTTGTTGTCCTAGTTTTGTTGATGAACGCTCTTACAAACCGATCTGACTGAGCAAGTGCCATTCAGCTGAGCCCGAGACCTGCTCCAGAGCCATGTGGTATGAGCTGCCTGGACCCAGAGAACACAGCAGGCAGAAAAACAAATTAAAAATAAAATTAAACAAGCAAATCAAGTAATTCTGCCCTCCGGGAGACACCGGGAACCACCCCGGACACATGCTAGTAACTAAATTCTATGTTATTTTTATTGCGGTGTGTATTAAGGTGGCGCCTACGACGACCCCACGACATGGCTCAGAGCCCCGTGGTGCTGAGTGATGTTCAAATACAGGAAAAAAAGACGGGCCCTGTTCCCTGTTCCCTCCCCTCCGACTGTCGGTATCCACTTGCTGTCTCTTGTCTCCTACTTACAAGGGACAGAAAATCCACCGCATCCCTTGGTAAGTTGTCCCAACGGTGAATTAACCATCTGCGCCTCATTGCCACCCTGAATTGTTCCATCTTTGGCTTCCAGTTGTTGGATCTCATTCTGCTTTGTCCTGCTAGATTAAAGAGCCAGCTGGTCTCAGAAATCTTCTCCCCACGTAGGTATTTCTAAACCAGGGTCAGCACAGCGCCAGCTGCACATTCCTTGTGGTGCATGAATTCCAGAAGAGTTTTCCCATCACAACTTCTGTACAGGGAGCCCCAGCCCTGCGGGGACTAGTGCTTTAGCAATGCAGGTGGGTGGAAAAGCAGACAGATACATGTCCCTCATTGCCATCGTATGTATCTGGGTAAACAGAATAGAGAGCAGGAGCCCCAGGGAACTGGGCTCTGTTCCCAGCTCTGGGAGGGGAAGGGGGTCTAGTGGTTAGAGCAGGAGGGACTGGGAGTCAGGACTCCTGGGTTCTGTCTTGCCAGGTGCTCCGTCACTTGAAATGTTAAGGTCAAGGTTGTCTCTTTCTGAACGCTCCACTCTAGCTCAGCCACAAGTCATTGGGCTCAATGTAGGAATTCCCGGGTGGGACTTTCTGGCCTATGCGAGGCAGGAGATCAGACTAGGTTATCACCTGGGTCCCTTAAGCTCTGTGACTCCAGAGGGCACTTAGGACGTCATATTTGTGCGGCTCTTGAAGAAACCTGGATGACATGCAAATGTAAACATGAAACGGGCTGTTTTATTTGTATGGACACAATTTATGTGTAGATTCATGTTGGAAGGTAATGTCAGACAACAGTCTACTACTGCTACCAGCTAATGGAATTACACCTTTAGCTTAAGTGAGAGAGAGGATCTGTGTTCTTAGGCCATTCAAAGACTGTTCAAGCCGAAGGAAAGACGCCTCTCAATTGCAGCGGGCTTTGGGTCAGACTGAAGTCAAGAGGACCTGAGCACCTGATTAAAATTAAAGTAGGTGCATAAGTGTTTTGCTGAATCCGTGTTGGTGTTCCTGGGTTGCTGGCTGAACTCATGAAGGAGATGGCTGCGTCTGTGGGCGGTTGCTGTGCGTGGTGGTTTTGGATACTGTTTTTTCTCCAGAGCCTCAAGTGACCCTTTGTGCCAACCCAGACAAAACTGGGCAAAGTGCAGTGGGGAGAAAACACTTACTCTCTCCATTAGACTTCAGCTAAATTAAATTTCCCCATACTCCCTTCCTTTTCATGAATTATATTTTAAGCAAGTGACGTAGAATAAATGATCAGAGGGGGAGACAAGCAATATAAATGGCCTGGAAATTATGAAGACATTTTTAAAGTCCTGATTTATGGAGCAGCTTATGCCAGCCCTTCAGCTGGGGGAGTGGAGGGGATGGGGAAAGCTACTTGAACGTAAATCATTACCTTTTACTTTTTATCCCACTCCTGCCTCCTTTAAGGCATGTGCTACCCAGCATTCAAACGCTGAAGGGGGTTGTCCTCTGTATTTCTTGTCATTTTGTGACCCTGCTGCAGGTGGACCTGGCAACAACAAGGGTTGGGTTCAGTATCTTAGCAATACGAAATAGAACTGGCTTGAGCACCCACCCAGTGATCCAGGAAAAATAAACCATACCCCCATGGCACCTCTAAGAGGCAATACTTCCCCACTCGCAATTCTGTGTATTACCAAAGACAACTTTTATTAAAAGGGAACCCAGCATTAATTTTGGAAAACATCACCACCACATTCAAAAGCATGTAACCATAAGCAAACTCCCACCTTGCAGTACATTGGACACTGTCCTTTGCCTGAGTTTCCCATCTTGTGGTGTGAAAGGCTGACGAATGAATGTCCCTTTAACACATCGATTCCCTTTCTCTCTGCTGCCCCCTACTCCTAGTTGGTTAGCCGTAGTCAGCAAAGACCCAGAGTTCAGAGGTGCATTCACATGGGTCCACCTCCCACCACTGAAGGGGGTGGGGAGCATCAAGAGATGCCTCCGCTGCTCCCACTGCCTCTGCCACTAGCTCATTACTTTCTGCCATCTCTGCCACGGCTTCCCATTCGCTGCCATGCCAGAGTCGTTCCCCTCCCGCCCCCCGCTTAGCTCAGCTCTGAGTGATTTCAGCGGGTAACAAGTCACCTCTACACTACTGCTTCATAGTTGTCTTTCACTGCAGTGCTACCCCCACCCCCAAAATCTAAAGCTTAGCCCCTAAACCAGCTACTTACGTTTTAATAATCACTCAGCATAAAAAAGAAGTTGTAATCCACTCTAAACCCTTCTGTGTTCAAGCACTGCAAGAGAGGGTCAAACAGTAACTATGAATCTTTAAGTAACATTCACATCCTACCCCTCAACCTTAATTTTCAGTTGGAGTTGACATCCCTACCCCCTGCTTAGCCTGTGAGATTCAGGCTAGGGTGACTCTCTGAATTGGGGCATGCTATGCCCAGTTGGTTCTGCTGCCCTGTGTCACTAGATGTAAGGGGAGAGCTCGTTCAGCCCCTGCTTACAGCCCAATGGGGACATTCTCCCCTCTGTGGAGGGAAGAAGGGGGCAGCACAAGGAAGGTGTCCCACTCAAGCCCCTTCACTTTGTAGTGTCCTAGGTGCAACGCCAGAGGAGTCCATTGCAATCATCCAGCCCCGTGGTTCTCAACCAGGGGCACACGTACCCCTGGGGGCAGGGCCGAAGAGAGGGGGGCAAAGCTGGTACAAATTACCGGGGCCCAGCGGTCCAGAAGGGGGTCCGGGGTCGGCTTCCCCCCCTCTTGTCGGCCCTTTTTAGCCAGTCCACCCTTGCTGGGGGGCCCAAAAAAATTCCGGGTCCGGCTTCCCCCCCGCCCCTTGTCGGCTCTGTTTAACCGGTCCGCCCTTGCTGGGGGGCCCGAAAACATTTTTTCACTGGGGCCCGAACCCACTCTCGGCAGCCCTGCAGAGGTCTTCCAGGGGGGGTACATCAACTCATCTAGATATTGGCCTAGTTTTACAACAGGCTACATGAAAAGCCCTAGCGAAGTCAGTACACACTAAAATTTCATACAAACAACGACCTGTTTATACTGCTCTATATACTATCCACTGAAATGTAAGTACAATATTTATATTCCTGTCGATTTATTGTATAATTATATGGTAACAATGAGAAAGCCAGCAATTGTTCAGTACTAGTGTGCTGTGACCCTTTTGTATTTTTAGGGCTGATTTTGTAAGCAGGTAGTTTTTAAGTGAGGTGGAACTTGGAGGTACACAAGGCAAATCACTCCTGAAAGAGGTACGGTAGTCTGGAAAGGTTGAGAGCCACTGATCTAGCCTGACCAGTCCTGCATCACACAGGCCAGAAGAATCACACCAAGAGATTCCTACACCCATCCCAGAATTGCTTGTTGAATTAGAGCATGACTTGTACAAGGAGACACCCGAACTTGATTTAAAGATGAAAGCAACGGGGAATCCATCACCTCTCAGGGAAGTTGTCCCAAAGGTTAATTATCTTCACTGTTAGAAACTTGCACCTCATTTCTAATCTCAATTTTTCTGCCTTCAATTTCCAGCCATTGGAACTTGTCCAGCCTTTGTCTGCTAGATCACAGAGCCCTCTGGTGTCAGAAATGTCTTCCCCAGGTAGGTACTTTAGTGAGGCATAAACGGTGCAGGAGCGAATTTCCCCCCACGAGGTTGTGGCTCTGGAAACTTACATGGATGGACGAGGGTGCTAAACCTTCCTGTCATTTGGCATCACCGTCACAGGTGATCTGCTGACATCCTGGCTAGGTCAGTCTGTATCCCAAAGGGAAGCGAAATGGCTCGCCTGGGGCTGGGTTTGGTAATGTTCTGAGATGGCATTTATATAAACACTCCAGTGTGATTTCATGAATCACTTTCCATAGCAAGCCGCAGATTGGGTCAAGGGACCTGGACACACACCTCATCCTCTTCTTCATCACAGCATCCTCTGTAAGGTCTTCGCTACAGATGCATCTTGCAACCAAGTTATGCAAGAACACAGCTGAGATGCAACTGCTCCTTAAATGCAGAGAGGACATTTACCCCAGGCGCGTCCGTACAAGGCAAATGTTCCAATTTGTTTTCATTTCAGCCCCGTTCCTTGGGCTGAAATGAAATCTGAATGGCTGGTCAGGTGGAAGCGCTTCCTTAAATGCGCTAGCTCCCTCCAGGGCAGCCTGGACCCTCGGCTCCCCAGATGGGGAGGCTGGTGACTCAGCCTTTTGCCTGTCAGAATGCCTTGGAGCTGGTGGAGATTTAGCATCCCCAGTGCCTAGAGTTATTCCCGGCTCCCCTTCCCACCCCTTTAGTGCCGTCTGTGACGTTAAAGTTCCAGGCACCTCTAGAAATCCTTTTGCTACTGAGTGCCTTCCTGCTTAGGCTGGGAAAGGCTGTTGGTTTCGCAGGATTCTACTTAATTGTCTTTCCTCTGAGTACCTGCCTCTTGCTGTCGCCTGCATTCCAAATTAGCTTCCACTGACCTCACCAGGGTGCTGGGAGCGTGAATGTAGATGAAGCAGGCCTGAGAGTTTTAAAGAGGGGGAAATGAAATGTCCATGAAACCCTCCCTCATTTCCCAGGCAACAAGCCAGCTGGTCAGAACTTTCTGAATTTTGAAATCTCTGATATTTTGAAACTGACACTTCAAAAAATTGGGGAAGGAAAACTTTTGAAGAAAACAAAATCTGCAAAGTTTTCCCCCCAATTTTCCATCACACCGGAGAGTTGCCCTGGACTGTGGTCCCCGGGTTTGGGTGCTGGCCAAGGACTTGGGAGAGCTGGGTTCAGTTTCCTGCTCTGCTACAGAGTCTGTGCGACAATTAGACCACTTAGGGAAACAGTCACTAGGCGAACAGATCTGGAGCTACGGTTTCCATCTGGCCTAAGGCCTGAACTACGCTAGGAAGTTATAGCGAGACAGCTACGTCAGGCAGGGGTGTGACTTTTTACCAACGTAGCTATACCAGTGTAATGGTGCTTATATAGGGCAATCACAGGGAACCAACCTGTATAGACTATACAAGGCCTTAGAGATTTATGAATGCAAGGAGCCACTTTTGAAAATGGGACTAAATCTCATTGACTTTTGATGACATTTAGACCCTTAAGTGTCCAAGTTAACCTTTCAAAATGGCTCCTTAGGTACTCTTGAAAATGGTACCTTTAATCTATCGTGTGCTTCAGCCCCATCCCCCCCGCATAACATGGGGATAACAGCCCTGTGAGGTAAGGCACCCATATGGGGATTAAAGATTGTGAGGTATCGGATATTAGGGTATATAGGGTCATAAAAGTACCTATGGCCAGGTCTACTCTACAGACTTCTGCTGACAGTTACATCAGTCAGGGGTCTGATGAGTAGAACTGAGGGAATAATGGTTGTTTTGGCTTGGTGAAAAAAAACAACAAATCCAGTAAGTAAAGATAAAAAAATCCAGTTTAATTTGAACCAAAACCAATTTAAAAAAAAAATGCTCATTGAATAAAAAAAATTAATTTTGGATTGACCAAAACATTTTGGTCAACTCCAAACATTTTTCCGCCTGTTTTTTTCGTTTTGATTTGGGTAGTTCTCTCTTTTTGTGTATGTGACTTGTTTTATTGGCTAAATCTGAAAACGAAAGGCCATTTCAAAAAGACAAGTCATAATGAAATGTTTTGACATTTTCAAAATTTATTTCCTCAGGCTCCTTTTGGCTGAAACAATTCATTGAATTTGACCCAAATTCATGAACAGTTTCAGAGACCTGAAAAAAAATGGATTTTTCAGAAAAATTTCTCCTTGGTGAAAAGGTTTTGCCCAGCTTTGGTGAGGAGGTGTGATTTGTGACCAGAGCCGTGTCAGTAGCACCCCTGTATAGACGCATTTATACTGGCAAAGGTGCGCTTTTGACAGCATGACTTATTTCTCTTGGGCGGTGTGTAATCAGTTATATTGTGCACTTTTTGCCAGGAGAAGCTGTGTCCATAGTAGGGGAATGCGTTGCCAGCACAGCACACTGGTATAGCTGCACCAGCAAAGCCTTCGGAGTGTAGACCTGACCTTGCACAGCTGCCCTGTGGCAACGGGGGAGGAGGGCATGTTGATATCTAGCCAAAACAGACTGTTTCACAGCGGTTACACAGGATCGGACTGGGCGAGCACAGCCTGAGCGCTGATAAGTGTCTGCCTTGTCAAGAAAACTAGCTCAAGTTTTGCAATGAGACAAATCACTAGGAAAATTATTCAACTTATCTTTAATAACTCACTACGTCCAATGTTCCCAGTTAAATTGCTCTACACCTCATCAGCCCGTCTCACGAGGAAATGACAAAGCGCGAGATATCAAGCAGGCAAAAGCCCAATTGTTGGAGCAGAAAATGATAATGCCAGTGCGACGGCAGTGAGAATGGAGTAAATATTGATTCTTGTATATGAAAGAAAGATCTTATGGACGGGGAAGATTAAAAGAATAAGCCAACCGAACAAGCTCCCGCTCCAACTGATGTAACATTCCTACCAAACCAAAACATTTCCAGTGCATAATAAATAGCTCTTTGCAGCTACAGTAACCACGCGTCTGGCTGTTCGCAGGGCATCAGCAGGCCTATGATTTCGAGATACCAGGATTGCTGCATGCAGCAAGTCTCCATCAAATGGGGAACAGCACGGTCTCTGGAAAAGGAAATGTTACATAATGATGGGGCCCTTCTCAGGATGTGAAACAGCCTCCTCACCTGCACCCAGGTGAAAACCAGAGTCCAGGAAACAGGGGTAAGGCGACATTAACAAACAATCCATGCAAGGGAGGGAGTGTTGAACACCAAAATCTGTGCAGCAGAAACCCTGGTGTTCAGAGAACAGGGGCGGCTCTAGGCACCAGCAAAGCAAGCAGGTGCTTGGGGCAGCCCATTGGCAGGGGCAGCAGGGATCCAGCCTGGGAGCGGAGAACCAGCAGGGGACACTGGGAGCTGTAGTTCCTTGGTTAGCTCCCTGCCTATAGAGCCAGCCCTGGAGCAGGGAAAGAACTACATTTCCCAGCATTCCCTTGGCCACTACCAACAGGAAAGAGAGGGAGGGAGTGAGCTGAGACCTCATGCTGCAGCCTGCAGTGAATGGAGAACTGCACTGGGAGTAGGGATTCCGTATTTTAACATCCAAAAAATAGGACACTCCACAGGGAGGGAGGGTAGGTAGCCCCACCCTAAAATAGGACACTCCACAGGGAGGGAGGGTAGCCCCACCCTGCCCCCATCCACTCCCTCCGACTGCCCCCCACAGAAACCCCAACCTATCCAACCCCCCTGCTCCCTGTCCCCTGATCACCCCTGCCCCTAACTGCCCCCCAGGACCCCACCCCCATCTAAGCACGGCTGCTCCTTGTCCCCTGATTGCCCCCTCCCGGGACCCCTGCCCCTAACTGCCCCTTGGGACCCCACCCCCTATCTAAGTCTCCCTGTTCCTTGTCCCCAACTGCCCCCTCCTGAGACCCCCGCAACTTCTGCCCTAGGACCCTACCTCCTACCTGTCCCCTGACAAACCCCTGGGACTCCCATGCCTATCCAACCACTGCCTGTCCCCTGACTGCCCCCCCCAAACCACTGACCCATCTAACCCCCCTTCTCCCTGTCCCTGACTGCCCCCCCCGAACTTCCACCCCATCCAACACCCCCGCCCGCTCCCTGTCCCTTGACTGCCCCCCCCGGAACTCCCTACCCCTTCTCCAACCCCCCAGCCCCCTTACCGTGCCACTCAGACCAGCGTGTCTGACTCCGCGCA